GCCAAGTTTCCAAGTTTGTCTAAGTTTTCATGACTCTTCAGCTTGAAATTGCTGGCAACGATGATACCCTCCATCACATGACGGAATCGAAGAAGCTCAGCTCGGAAACGGCTTCAACAGGAATGTTGCACTGAAGCCAATCGGCCGTCGTCTTCTGGTGGAATCGAACTGAGAATCTCTTCACCGTACACTTTGACTCGAAATGAAAGTATGATCAACTGTATCATCTTTACCATCGCTTTACTGCTACTACCTTCATCACTTGTGTCACTATTACTACTTTTAAATATACGAAGAAAAGTTAACTTTTATAATTGTTGAGCTTACTTCCATTTCGAGTGGAAGTGTTGCGTGAAGAGATTCGAGGTCGGTTCCACCAGAACACTGGAACATTCATGCTGACGCTGTTTCCGAAGCAGTCTCCATCGATTCAGATGAAAAGTTGCTAAGCTTTTGTCCAAGTTTTCGTGACTCGTCAGCTTGAAATTGCTGGCAACGATGATACCCTCCATGCTGTGATGATGCTCACATCATCACATGACGGAATCGAAGAAGCTCAGCTCGGAAACGGCTTCAGCAGGAATGTTGCACTGAAGCCAATCGGCCGTCGTCTTCTGGTGGAATCGAACTGAGAATCTCTTCACCGCACACTTTGACTCGAAATGAAAGTATGAGCAACTGTATCATCTTTATTACCGCTTTACTGCTACTACCTTCATCACTTGTGTCACTATTACTACTTTTAAATATACGAAGAAAAGTTAACTTTTATAATTGTTGAGCTTACTTCCATTTCGAGTGGAAGTGTTGCGTGAAGAGATTCGAGGTCGGTTCCACCAGAACACTGGAACATTCATGCTGACGCTGTTTCCGAGGCAATCTCCTTCGATTCCGTGCATCATATGACGGACATCATCACCACAAAATTCAAGAAAACTATTTTCAAAGCACGACTGATTTCAATTGGTACAGTCGGTACCACCGGTACCATTTTTAAAACGAATACCCTTCACCGGTACCCTTTGTGGCATTATCAGCACCAGTACCATCGGTTGCATCAGCATCAGCAGCATCAGCAGCATCAGCAGCATTGGTGCCGTCTGCAGTTGCTTCTGGGTGTTTGGCAGAAGCGGCTCGTGCCGGCTCCACTTTGCGAGGCCTACGAACGCCGGCTGAGGGCCAGGTGAGACCGAGGCCAGCGATTTTATGAAGAGCCCAGTCGGGGGGTCGGAGTGTGTTTCCACTCAGAAACGATGACCAGATGGTGTGAAAATGCCGGCCTCGTCTGACCCTCTGCCCGAGGGTCACTTTGGCAGAGGTCAGACGAGCAATGGAGTGGGCAAAGCGAGCTGTTCCGATCTCTTCGCGACACACTCGTCCTCTCCAATCGGGGCGCCAGGACAGGCTGGCCCATGCCAACACTCACGCCGCCTCGCAACTCAGGCCCGGCAACAAGAGCCTGCCCGGCAGAAGAGCAAAGCTGAGACCAGGCCCGGATTGCTGGAGGAGGTTGGAAGTCATCGGCACAGAAATACGTGCAAAATGCCAGAAAACCAACAGACCTCCGAGGCCACCTCTTCGCCCTACCAACACGTCTTTAATCGATAACATCCACCCACACAAACTTCTCGTCTCAACTTGTAACTTGGCAATTTGAGCAGATTGGTTTTGTTGCAAAATGCTGCCTTTATCACCGCTCTCGCCTTCATACAGTTCATAACAACTTGGTCTGTAAGTAAGCAGAAGCCTGTGCCTGCCTCGAATTCCTCTCAACCAAGTAACCCGGAGAAACTGCTTTTCCAATCTGCCTGGCTAGGCTCATGCTGATGCTGATTGTGATGCCACCCTGCAGCATGATAGTGATGATCATGCTGATTATTATTATGATTAGCATTTTTACTATGATTACAAGTAGGAGAAGGTGAACGAGACAATTGCTGATAAGTATGTGTGCAATTGTGATGATGATTATTGAGAGGAGAGAAGTGAAAGCTGCTGATAATTATGAAAATGAGTAATAACAATAATAAGGAGGAGGAAGCCGACGATGATCAATATGATTATTATTAACAGTACGTTCTTGATGCTGATGAAACTAATCTTCTTAATACCACCACCAATTATTATTATTATTATCATCAGCTTTAGCTTCATTGGCAGCAGTAGTATTAGTAGTAGTAAGATGAGAAGGATAAAGAAACCGGTACTGATGAATGTCATTAATAAAATTTATATTACGATTATGATTATGAGAAGGATACGGCTGACTCTGAGGATGCTTATTAGTAATATTATTAGCAACATTTATGTTATTAGTAATCGAAATGAATCTTATCGGCGCGACTACTGTTTTTGTTGTTGTTCTAGTCGTAGTGGTAGGACTCGTTTGAGGAGAGAGAAGTTTGCCAAGCCTCGCATTGAATACTCCTCGAGGCGAAGGAAACTGACTCAAGATAGCCTCAGCCTGCTGGACCTAAAGCCGGTCTAGTGGAAAGTTGAGGCTCGTGGAAGGAGGGTTGTCGTAAGTTGGTTCATCTTCACAGCGAGCAGGTCGTTGGTTCGAACCCAAGCCAGTCCCAGTCAACGGACAGATTGAAAGAGGCGCGACTGGAGTGTCACAAGCGCATCCTCCTTGCGCTCAATCATCTTTGCAAAAGTGCGAATCAAGTGAGTGATTGTCTACAAAAGAATGCATGCACTCAATCGAGACTGGTTGAGGTGTCATGTCAGAAATTGTGTTCAGCGATCATTGGCTCTCCGACAACAAGCAGCAGTTGCCGGATCGACGGACCTGAGGCCAAGGCTGCCCGTTGCCAAGCGGGCAAGCATGCATAAACAGAAGAGGACAGCATCACTGACACCTCGACTCGTAAACACAAAATACTTTGCACCAGGTCATTGATGAGATCACACTTGTACATTCCTCTTTCACCCCATGCCTGTGTGTGACTGTGCGTGTGAGTGTGAGTGTGCGCGCCAGTTTGTGTGTGTATTTGTTCCTCTAGATATGCCGTCTGATGAAGAGGTTCAAGCTTCAGTTTGACCAGACTGAAAAGGGTATTCTTTTCTTCTTTTTCTTCTTCTTTTTCTTCTTCTTCTTCTTTTTCTTTTTCTTCTTCTTCTTCTTCTCTGTCTTCTGTCCCTGATAAAGTGCACAAAACTAAAGACAGCATCGTTTTTTCATTATTCTTGGACAAAAGACGCTGGCACCAACACTTTTGGGCCAAACCCGGTGAGAGTGGTTGCAATGACGCAATGCACTTGTTCTAAAAACAGGAGACCGGTCACCTCGAATGCCAGCTTACCTTCCAAACGGACACGACACGAGACCGGATTTGTCGGTTTTAATTGCATGATTCAACAACTGGAGCAAACGTTTGAGAGCTGGCGACTCGGAACTCGTTCTCAGACGAAACGGACAAATCGAATTGACACTTTTCTGCGCTAAAACTGTCTTCCATTTCGAGTGAAAGCCCGTTAATTGGATCGACAAAATAGACAACAACTGAGTCTCTTTCAACTGCAGTCGCCTGGACCCAATACAGGATTCAGCTCGACGCAGTACACAACATTTGCTCCCTTGTTTTCAACCAAAATGGCCTCAGCTCTCGCCCATTTTGCCACTTGACAAGCATCCCCAAAACTACAATTCATTCTTGCAAAAGCCTCAAGCCAACGCCAAGTCAACAATATCCGCCGTTCTTACCTTACATGGTATGGATAGTCAACAAAATACGAAATATATTTTTATATATATGGAATAGGATTAGGATAGGGGTATAGATAAATAGACAGACTAGGTGATAGACAGTAAGAAGATTAATGGATGAATGGAAAAAAATATAGTCAAATAGATGGATAGATGGATAGATGAATGAAGGTATGGAGGAAAAAGTAGATACATTTCTCCACATTCACACTTGCATCCTTTCTACTATAAATATACACAATTTTGCATCGACATCTACACACGCACTTCCGATTCCACATTCAGATCCCCTTCCACATCCCCATTTTGGTCTATTTATACATTCGTCTTCAAATATTCTCACACATCAGACTGCAAAAATTAAAATCAACATTAATACGCATACACACACACACACACATCCGCTTGCGCATTCACATTGAGATCATTTTTCTCATCCTCTTTCATATTAATATACAGAAATTAGCACCAACACACATCAACTTCCATATCGACACGTCTTCACCTATTTTTACATCTTCATCCACATCCACGTCCACATTTACATCCGCACTTACATCCACACCGACATCCTTTTCTCGCATCGACTTTAGGCACCTGCCGACATGTTGATAGAGAGCTGAACATGTACGGATCCGGCTCGCAGGACGGTGATTTCCAGTAGAGCCAATTCACAAATCCAATTCACCAACCGGTCATCTTCACCCTCGTGATGAAACGTCGAGTCGCATGTTGTACCAATTGTTTCAATAATTTTCATTTGATGAATACGCATGTGTGCTGAACGTCGATCTCGACACGATTCGACATCGGATTGTCGCTAACACAATTTCATCGGGTCCGGTGAAAACGAGATGGGTTTTCGACAAACTGTCTCAGAGTTGGATCCCATTCTTGCACTCAATTTACGCCAACAACAAATCGAGAAGACCAAACAGCTATGTATACATACTAATAAAAAAGGATAAAACATTATTTAATCATTTCTTTCTCTTATTACCCCAAGTAAGTATTGCGTTTGTGTGTGTACCAATCTCACAACGACTTCAGAACACTGGGACTCGACGGTCGTCTTCCGTTCAATTCGACCAACGTGGAGCTCGATATTAAGAGCACATAGACACGCACATACAGACACACACACGCATGCGATACAAGTCACATAACAAGGTTATCGGAACCCAGTGTATCACGCCTCTGAGTGATTCTGAGCAAACCGACAAGATCAAAGCCTTTCAAGCTTGGGACTGATTGCGGATGTGTGTTTTGGCTTACTCCTCCTCTTTGGAGCCAACAATCTTTTCACCAAACTCGTTTGTGATGCACCATTTTCAACAAACTGATCGACAACTCACTCTGACACAATCATGAATAAAATACCACCCCAATTGGAATGAATATGTATCGGATAAACTTGGCCAATAAAATTCCGTTAATTGGTGATTATGCTTGTCAGATTTGTCCTGAAAGCAAACCCAATTTCGTCTAAGCTGATGAATGACTGTTAGAAGAAGAATTTTCCCATGATCATATAAGTTGAGCTGACGTTTCCATTCAATTTCACATATTTTTCGAATCAAGTATTGTTTTCGTGACTACCAGTAAATCAGTAGTATGAGATGCATTTACCCAATTTCGTCTAAGATGGTGAAGGACTGGTAGAAGAAGAATTTTCCCACAATCATATAAGTTGAGCTGACGTTTTCATTCAATTTCAC